CAGGTGTGCTACAAGGACAACCGCAACCTGGAGAGCACTGAGACCTCTGTCCTTCTGCTGCTGCTCTCTGACTCTCTCCGCGTTGCTGGCAATTTGCTTTGCGTTGGTCCCTCCCTGATAAACAGATGACCATCAAGCCAAGAGTCATACTGGCAAAGTCCTGCAGGAGCATGGACTACAAAGTTGGAAGTAACACAAGGCACCCAGAGAGTATGTGCAGTAGCAGCCCTCAAGTTCACTGACATGGGAACAGCCAGACTGCTCATGCAGTGACTCCGCATGTCCCACAGGCTCCGCAGCACCCGGGACGGTGGGAGCGGGTGCCAGAAAGTGAGGCGGCTGCTGGTGGGGACGGCGCGTCCTCCTCGCCTCCGCACACCGGCACGCAGCAACGGCAGAAGGAGGCTGAGCCGTGTGCTGGCAAGGCCAGGCATCTCCATGGCCTGGCTTTCATGCCCCAGCACCGGGAGGCAATTTTAGAACAATTTCTGTGCCACAGGAGATCACTTAAACCCCAAGGAGAAATACTATTGCATTATATCGCATTTTAAATAACTTCCATAGAAACACGTCCATTAGAAACCTTGTGCTTTATGCCCAAACCTGAAACGCAGGGCAGAATAACAGCGGGATAATAATAGCGCATCACGTGTGCTGCCTCTGGCATGTCTGTCAGCGTGACGATCCTGGAGCGGTTTCCATGCGTGCGGGACCTGGCTGTGCCCAGCAGATGGGTAAAGCACCACCAGGACCTTGTGGAGACATTGTCCTTAAAGCAGGCTGGATAACCTAAAGGACAGGGAGAAGTGAGGCAGTGATGCCATCAAAGAGCAGCAAGATGTGCCTGAACCCAGAGCTACGTTCACCAGCCACAAGGTAAAGGGCTCCCGTCGCAGGTGCCTTGCAGGCACCCTGGTCCTGCTCAGGCTGATGCCCACCAGACATTTTAGCAGCCACATGTGCTAGGACATCGCAGGAAAACCACCTCGTACCTGCCCGTCCGGGTTGTCCTGGTCTCTCCTCAAGCCTGCTCGGGATCCAGGTCTCTGCGTATCCTTCTCAGCAGAGGGGAAGGGAAGAGCCGAGATGAAGCAACTTGCCAAGGGTCAAGCAGCAAAACAAGGCGCAGGCAGGAATGGACCGAGGCCGGCTGGCTCCCTCCCCGCGCGCCTAACCACCAGACGACGTTCTCCTGCCAGCGCTGCTTTAACGGCTTGTGGTGGGCAGCCAAAGAGCAGAACTGAGATAACGAACAGGGAAGCGAGGAATTCGCTGCATTTTTATTGAACCGTCAGGGGAATACGCTATTCCGACAAGAGATCATGGGGAGGTTGTCCAACACGAACAACACAAGGGGTGCAGACTGAAAAGGGGAGCAGCTGGAAACACGGAAGCAAGAAGAAAATAGTGGGGGGAAACAGGTGAGGCAGCAAGAGGTGAATGTGTAGAGTGACAGCAGAGGGGAAGACAAGCAGAGGGAAACAAAGGGGAGAAGAAAAACTGGAATGAGAGGCAGGAAAGGAAATGGAAATGCAACAGGGCTGAAATTCCCCCTGGGTGCCAGATCCAGAGAGGAACACAGCAAATATGAAGGTGGCAGAGAGACATCCAGAACCTCTCCCCAGCTCCTCATACTCACCTTCAAAACAGAAACTGCAGATAAGAGCCTTTTCATTTGATTAAGAACCACGTAAGAGAAAATATATACACAATCAGATCCTAGGTGACACCTACGGAAAGGGAAAAGCCATCTCTCCTTGCCTTCAATGGGAAAGGGTGGGAGAGGGAAAGGATGGAGCTAGAGCACCTCAGTGGGTTTGCTGGAGGGACAACTGGACATCTCCAAAGGAGCTGGCAGTTTTCTAATTCTCAACACCATCTGACATTCAAATTTTAAATAAAACTTTGCCTCTCAGGCCCTGCTTTGGAGGTAGCTTGATACCACAACTCAGTGGAAAGCAGAGCTTTTACAAATCAGAGCCCAAATTACTGCCCATCCTCAGTTGCCAATTTTTGCTGTACTTGGAACTTGCACCCCCTTGGCCTTCAGTTGGCTGCAGGGAGCAACTCCCAGCAAAACAGGCTAGAAAGGGATCGCAGAAACGGTTTTCACACAGGTTTTTCCACTAGAGCTGCACACGCTTGGAGATAAACAGCTCCTTGCGTCGCTCCTGTCCCCGCTCCTCCGCCCGGGGCTGCCGTGCGGCTGCGTGCCCTGGAGCCACCCCAGCCATGGGGTTGACTGGAGTGCCTGGGAGCCCGGCTTGCAGTCCAGGGCCATCCGAGGATGGAGAGGATCACTACCCCATAGGCCCTTTACATGTGTGCCTGCCAGTTCAGAGCCACTCACTGAGGAGATCCATCCTGTGAAGAAGAGCACAGATCCCTGGAAACATCCAGGGATGCGGTGAGATGACTGCTTTACACTTGGGAAAAGATCAAACGCCCACTTGGCAGACTCAGGTTGCAGAGGACGGTGGTTCCACATGGGCAACAGTGTCCGAGTGCCTTGAGCTGGCGCGCAGATGTGCACGGATGGACCACGGACACACATGGCCCTGGCGCTCACACGCAGGCTAGAAGCTTCGCATGCACAAACATATCTGCAAGGGGCCCGTTTTAACAGGGAAGGCTGCGTTGGTGTCAGTGCTCTGTGGTTTGTGTGTTCCAAGGAACTCTTTGGAAATTTGGCTGTGGACATTTAAAAACAGATTAAATTCCTGTACTGAAACAACACAGTTATTACAGCTCCTGGGTTTTCTGCTTAACCACGGCAACAGGGAAAAGGATTAGCAGCTGATCCAAACATATTAAGATGGTCAGAGAACAGGCTGGGGACAAGATTGTATCGCTGCTCTGTACCAACCCGGCTGCTCGTCACCACGGCCAGCTGGTCTGGCCCCCTTCAGCCCTGCCGGCGGCTCCTCCGCGGCAGCACGACCTGCCCTTGGCTCCTCACGCACACACGTACGGAGAGGGCACCAACACGCATGGAGAGGGCCCCAACATGTACGGAGAGGGCACCAACACGTATGGAGAGGGCCCCAACATGTACGGAGAGGGCACCAACACGTACGGAGAGGGCACCAACACGTATCGAGAGGGCCCCAACATGTACAGAGAGGGCACCAACACGTATGGAGAGGGCACCAACACGCATGGAGAGGGCCCCAACATGTACGGAGAGGGCACCAACACGTACGGAGAGGGCACCAACACGTATGGAGAGGGCCCCAACATGTACAGAGAGGGCACCAACACGTATGGAGAGGGCCCCAACATGTACGGAGAGGGCACCAACACGTACGGAGAGGGCACCAACACGTATGGAGAGGGCCCCAACATGTACAGAGAGGGCACCAACACGTATGGAGAGGGCCCCAACATGTACGGAGAGGGCACCAACACGTACGGAGAGGGCATCAACACGTATGGAGAGGGCCCCAACATGTACGGAGAGGGCACCAACACGTACGGAGAGGGCATCAACACGTATGGAGAGGGCCCCAACATGTACGGAGAGGGCACCAACCGCACTCTCGCTGCGGGACGCGGCAGCCGAGCGGCCGGGCTGCCAGGCCACTGTCCCCTGCCGGCTGCGCCCACGTCCTCGCAGGGCTGGTGACACGAGAGCCGGCTCCTGTGGGCCTGGACTTCCCAACGTGACTGCGTTCGGCAAGCCAAAGTCAAGGACGATTTGTCCTTACGAAGAACTAATTTCTGGGCTGGCTTACCAAATAAATAACCCCATAAAATAGCATCATTCACTATTGTTACAGCGTCATTACTGAACCAGGTGCTTTGCAAACTAATACAAGACAGATGGTTTCCCCGAGGAAAACGTTACAGAGTAAGCTAAAATACACCGCAAATCTACCTTGATGTAGCAGGGCTAAACGGGGACTGGGGGCTCAAAGAGGCATTTAAAGAGAGAAAAGAGATTTGCTGGGTTTTTTGAGTTCTTTTTTTATGATGGAGAGAAATATTGTTAGTTTTGGATGAGTTCCTTGTTTGTTTTCCTCTTTGGTATATTATAAATCCACCTATCTGTCTCCTTGGAAGTCTCCTAGTAAAGACCAGCTTTTCCAATGTCATTGTTTCAGCAAAGAGATGGAAATTGTGCAACTGGAGGAGAAAGCAATTTGTCATCAAATAGCTTAGATTCTTAGCCTGACTACATTAATACCTATGTAACTTTGATTCCTAAATAACATCACAGACAGAGGGAACTTTTGCAAAGGCCTCCACATCCTCAAGCGAAATGTTAGAATAAATGCCAGAAAGATCTCCAAAAAAAGCAGGGAAAGCAAAAAACCAAACTCGACATTCTTGCAATTTTTACGCATGTTTTTTTTTTAAGTTTCACCCTCCTTTATCCATCTAAAGAAGTTGAAAGCAATGCAATTCCCAGTTCTTTTAAATATCCTTAGCAGGTCACCTCTAATGCTGAGAGGACTGACTATGATCTGCTTCCAAGGCAGTTGCATCAGAGCCTAGAAACCAAGGGTAAATTACTCCCTGCATGAGCAGGGAGCCGTAGCTTGGGAATGAAGGTCGGCCTACGCCATGAGCCCCCACCATGGGCGGCAGGAATGGGAGCGGGAGAGCTCCCTGGGCTGCCCCGGCGTGCGGGAAGGTCACTCGCACCGGGGCTGGCATCGCCCCCTCGTGCCACGGACCCGAGGGCGCAGAGCGAGCGAGGGGCGCTCTGCCCTCCAGTGCCTCCCGCAGCCATCAGGCCATGCTGCCTCTTGGCTGTCGAGAGGCAAACTCACAAGGAAGGAGCCCATTAGGCGCTTCCTGAAGTAAGGAAAGGGGGGAATATTTTGGCTTTATTCCCTGGCGTGGGTTTTTCTTAGGAGATGTAGTGGGTTGAGCAGGCACCGTCCCACTGGGCTTTCACGGGACAGGACTGAGTGACAGTGCTGGGGACAGGGGACAGAAGAAGGGTTTGGAAAGCCAGGAGCTCCCTTGCCCCAGCCCTGTCCTGCAGCTCTTACCATTCAATGCTCAGGGACCTGGGCCGGAAGGCAGACAGCTCGGCCGAGACCTGCTCAGCTTTCCTCTTCTCCTGCTTCTGCTTAACCGACAAGCGGTGGGCAAATCTAGAGAGGCTGCTTTCCGACCTGGGGAAGGGGAGAGGAAAGGCGTTAATGTCACTGAAGCACCTGGAATGCTGAAGCCAGGACCGCGGCACAAAGCCAAAGGGATGCGCAGAGCTAGAAGGGGACAGGGGGCTCCAGAGGAGCACGGTGAAGCGATAGAAGCTCCACAGGAAGGTGTGGAGGAGCAGCAAGCAAGTTTAGCGACACATCAGCAGGCCAGGACCTGCACAGGTCCCTAGGATGCTGCTGGCAAAAGCTCTCAGCAGAGCAGATAAGCTCCCCATAATGACTGGAAAAGGGAATCTGCGAGTCCATCAGTGAGAGGTGTGAGTTTCCAAGCTGGTTTCAGGTCCTGCTTCCTGCTGCAGCAGAAACACCTCTACAGGTCAAAAGGTTTTGCTGAACATCAGCCAGCGATGGCCAGAGCTGGCAAGAAGGAGGTGGCCTCTTCCTGGCACCCCTGGCCTGCCTGCTTAGAAAGGGGGCCGGGGATCCAGAGCAGCACTGACAGGGAGAAGCAAAGGCAAGAAGGAGGCAGCTCCGTGAGCTTCCATCACAGCCGCACACTCATTCACAAAAACCAGGAGTTCCTGTGGATCCCCAGCCCCTTCAACCTTGATCCTTGAACCGCCCAGGTTGAAGACCTATCGTGATGACTGATCTCTGTGTCAGAGGTGCTTTGCAGGAGGCTTCGCAGGGCTCTTGCCTCGCCACGTCTTTGACCACGTGTGCACCAAGAGCCTGGGCTGCAGTGAGAAGAGGCTCAGGGCCGGGCAAAGGAGCTGCCGGGGAGAAGCAGCAAGGGCTTGGTTGGGATCTGGGGTCTCTGCACTGAGACCCCAACTGCTCAACACGTCTAAAGGGGCTTCGAGGGTGAGAAGGAAACACCAAACTGCTCTCCTGGCACTGCCACCAGGCAACGTATCTATATTGTTAAATATAGACCTTGACTGATCTCAACCAAACAAAATACCTCAAAAAAATGAAAGGAAGGTATTTCTCAGAAACGAGAGCTCCCCGCCTTTCCTTACAATAATTAAATAAACCACGAACAGCCAGCGTGTTTTTTTTTTCCTGATACTTTTTAAGCACAGACATCTTCAATTCATTAACTCTGGTTATTGATTTATTTTTCAGCTTATGAATTGCTGTTGCTTGGGACAGGGTGGAGACAGCTTTCTGGAGCGGGCTCTCGTCTCTCAGCTCACCACTGGGAAAGAGCCGCTCAGACCTTCCAGGGTCATTCTTTACATTCTTAATACAAAAAGAAATCACTTTGATGTAAAGGATGAGGTTTGTCTTAAAAAACAAAACAAAACAACAGCAAAAAAACACTAACAAGAAACCAGAGGCTCAGTTTTCTCCCTTTTAGAGCTGGAGGAAAAGGCATTAGAACAGGAAGAACTGGAGGGTCTTGTTAGAGCCCCTGAGCAGAGCCCACTGCACAAACACCATCCGTGCCATCGAGGCGCTGCTTTGATTCCACGTCAAGGCTCAAGCTGTAATGAGTGATTCCCCCAACAAGGGAGGGTGCTGCACTCACCTCTCACCCCCGCGGTAGCCGGGGCCTCCTGAGCCCGCAAGGCGAGAGGCAGCCTGGGGGAAGCGCTGCTGGCCGCCCACAGCATCTCCTTGCCAGCTTCCACATGGGCCCCACGCTGCAGTCTCAAAGCCCAAGAGGGCCCTCAAGACCCCAGTTTCTGTTTTTTTTTTTTTTTTTTAACGTTTTCGGTCATCCCCTCGGGGCCCCCTGCCCAGCTTCCACAGCCACCCATTGCACCTTTCCCCTGTGGAGCATGGACACGGAGTCAGGCACAAGGGCAATCCTGCCAAATGACACACTCCAGGAGATGCACTCCAAAGTGTGCACCTCGCCCAAGCAGGGAAGGAAAATCACTTGAGAGACCCATCAGCATGTGCCAAGAAGACGCGACATGGGACAAAACAGGGTCACATGCCAAAAGGGCTCTTCGCAGCATTGGAGAAAACAAGGAATCGAAGCTGTGCTTACACTTAAACCCCATGAGCAATGTGAAGCTGGGAAAGAGAAGGGCTCGCCAAGAGCACAGCTGCCAAGGCCCTTGCCTGCTGCAGACCCCAGCACAGGCACCAAGGCCACCGGGCGCTGCTGGAGGGGATCTGGCTGGGATGCACCGTTTGGGCAATCCCGCCTGCACTGGCTTCCTCCTTGCATTTGCTTCCCAATTCTTGACCTTACTCCTCCGAAACTCCCTTTGAGCCTTTCTGGGAGCCAAAGACTTGGGCAGGAGCGGTGGCACACATTGAAGGTCAGAGTGAGGTGCAGGTTTTCTCATTGCTTTGCTGGTCAGCGCTGATGTGCATTTACATGGCTGAGCTCAGGCAAATCCAAGCGAGAAGCAACGCACCTGGGTGTGTAAGACACACAGCCAAGGGAAGGGGCAGAGCCCCAGCGCTCGGGGGCCTCAAAAAAAGGCAGCAAGCCCTTTGGAAAGGCATATGGACAAACACAAGGTGCTGAGCTCCTTCCAGCTGGCTCAGAGGACGTTCTGCAGCTCATGGCGCTTGGTGTTTAAATCTGCCTGACCCAGGGAATACGAAGGAGGTTGTGTATGACCCAGGAGGTAAACACATATCTCAAGATGTTGGGTGGCATCTTCGTTCTCCAGTCCAACCTCCAAGCCTACCCATGCTCCAGCCTGGCAAAGTCTCTTATCAGACCAGGACCCACTGTATCCAAGGGCTAATAGAGGAGTTACAGCCTGGGCAGTGAACACTCTAATGGGCTTCTACCTCCTCACCAAGAGCTCCTGGCAGCTCTCCCATCCTCAGTACAGCACTGGCACAACCTCTCCTCCCATGCTAGTACTCACCAGCCTCCTCTCACCTACCCGGGACCCTAAAGCTCCAGAAGAGGCTTTACCTTCTCTTTTAGTTAGAAAGCTGGGAGCACGCTGTAGTATCATCTGGCTATTTATACAATGCTGCTTTACATAAACGGTTCTGCAAAGCAGGCAATGAATCATAGCTGCTCCGCTCTGCCGGCGCGCACACGAGCGCAGCCCGAAGCGGGCAGGCTGCTCCTGGCCCCGACCAGCCACAAGGGCCACCGGGGCAGATGACATGGCAGAAGGCCATGACAGCCTCTTTCCTGCCACACAGCTCGCTCACATGGTGCTCACCTCTCCGGCAGTCCCCTGGTTTCTCAGCGGGATTGGGGTGCTCCTGTGTTTCTGTGCTGGGATTCATGTCTGTGTCTCTGTGCTGACTCCAGTGATACCGCCTTGCAGCAGAAGGCGAGCCTGCTCCTCTCTCTCTAAGACAAGGACACTGCTTTAATCACATTTTTATTTGCCTGCTGCTTTCCAAGCTTTCCTTGATGCGGCTGTAAACTGAAAAAGCCCAAGCATAGACCCTTACGGTGAACACAGGGAAACGGAGCACAGAGCGCCAGCGCACGCAAGCCGTGTGCTTCGGCCGTTGTTAGCACCCGGCCTCTCACGTACTGCACTGCTCTCACTGGACAGCAATATCGTCCTGCCTCTCCCCATCAGTGTAAGCATGCATGAATGCTGTGCTGGCCTTGGGAGAAGACAACCAAGAACAGAGAAACTGGCCACAGAAATAAAGAATGGGGGGTCAGAGATGAAGCTGCCCTGTGACGGTTTTCTCTAAACTTGCTTTGTTCTAGCTCTGGCCCCTGCCACGAGCAGGACCTGTGGTGGTCGGGCATTGCCTGGAGGGGAAGGCAGCAGCAGACCTCCCTCGGAAGCCTCACTCCGTGCTTTGCCACCCTTATGGGGCCGTGGGCCAGACAAACGCAGCGAGGCGCTCCCAGCCCGGCCGTCCTGCTCTGCCCGCAGCCCGGCGCTGCCTGGGCAGACCCCGCTCGCCGCCGGGCATTGGCCACAGCTCCATGGCTGTTCCCCGCGTGCTGCAGAGGAGCAGGGGACACGCAGGGAAAGCCGCCGATTGAAACATCAACCGCAGCAATGGCAAGCACCGTCTCCTGACAACGAGAGAAGGTTGTTCAGCTACTGTGCTGTATCATAAATCACACCTCTATGACTTGCCATCTGTCAGCCAGATTACACATGTTCAGAGTCCCATGTCAGCGTTTAAGTCAGAATCCGGTTCCCTAGAAATAATTTATTGGCCCTAGAGACTCTTACAACACTACCTATTGAGCACCATGGCTCAGCCCTTCCTTCAAAGCCCCCCAGCAAAGTGCCCGCTAGAGCTAGCAGGGAACGTACAGGGCACATGGGAACACGGGGAGGCAGGGGCAGCAAAGGGAGCACATTATTTCCCCTGGCTGAAACCACAACTTCACGCGCATGCGGAGGTGGCAGGCGCAGCAGCAGCCCCTCTGCACCGGCCCCGGAGCCCAGTCCTTGCAGTAACTACAGAGGAGACAGAGGCAGCGAGACGCGGACCTTGGTGCCCCTGGGCAGCTGGGGACACTGCGGTGTCTGCTCTGCACGCAGCCCTGGTCTGTGTCCCCAGGGAGGCTGGGCAGCAGAGGAGAGGGGGCTGGCAAGGGCACTCACAAACCTGTCCTGCAGCCCCAGCCCATCCCACCTAAAAGGGAGGTCTCCAGGTTCAGCAAGGGTCCACACCAACAACCAGGCTCCAGTTCCTCTCCTGAACATGCTGCACGGCATCACATAAAGAAAGCTTCATCTCTTAACCAGACACATTCGCTGGAGATCTAACCTCAGCACCAATGACTCCCGAAGCCCCCAGCGTGCCAAGGCAGCAGGAAGAGTGGAGACAAAGCTGGGTCGCAACCTGGCACCTAACCACTGGTCCTGCCATTGGCTCCAAGCAGCTTGCTGAATCATCACAAGACACAGCACAAAAATCCGCTCAGCTGCCCTTTATCCTGAGGACAACAACAGCCTGAAATGCCCCAGTCCACCCCCTTGCTGGCCAGTTGAAGGGATGAGCAATGACATTTCACAAAGCTGAGTTAGAATAAAAACACACAGGGCCCAATTCATCCCTACTGGCGCACCCGGTTCTACCCCAGGCGCAGATCT